CTATTTGAGATAACACTTTACTTTCTCCATATGTAATTAACTACCAAATCCAAAAAATCAAATAATAAAATAAATCATAAACAACATCAATGATAAGAACTTAATTTCAAGAGTTTTTGTAAAGACATACCTTTCTTAGATCACAAAGACATAGCCTTCCTCACAAGTCACAAGTAGAATCAAAAGAAAATATTAAGTGATTTGAGATCAGGTCTTGGTTTAAATTGGCAATTATGAGAATTAAAAAATTATTAGTCGACAAAGTAACATAACCATTGATATTATGTATACCAGATTCCTCAAGTTACTTGCTGTCAGGCAGCAATGCAAAACACCACCAACAATTTAAGCTCTAACAGATTGATAAGCACCAGCTAGTAACCAAAAAAATGAAATAACACAACCACCAGAATTTCATTAGATTGAAAGATAATAATCCCACTTTCGAGAGGGGGAAACTCTCCAATAAGTCTGAGACTTTTACAGATTTCTAGCCAAAAACTTCTCCAGAAGAAAGATGATTATTTATACCCTCATAATGGGACCACAGAGCAGACAAGGGATTCCAGGACAGGGAATGTTGTCCCCCACGAAAACAGGCCCAAACGAGGAGATCATGGCAACAACATAAACTAATATAATAAAAATAAAATTACCCCCTCCCACTCAGCAACAAACGCTAAGGGACTGATGTTGATGGGTCTTTGACCAAATTGCCCATGCGTCCTTTTCTTTGATAAACAAACCAGAGTGGGGGTTTATCAACACCTGCCGCCTAAACATCCACCTTGTCCCCAAGGTGGAATTGAGGAAAGAGCTGGTTCATCTTCTCGAAATCCTCCCATGTTGCTTCAGCCTCTGTTAGCCCTTCCCATTGTATTAAGACTTCTATTTCTTTGGAATTGCTGCCTTTCTTTTCTCGCACCCCTTTCAACACAGCAGGTTGAACTACCAAATTCAAATTCGAGTCCAGCTGTAGTGGTAAGTCGGTGGTTTTCCCCGGTACTCCGAAAGCCGGCCTGAGTTGAGAAACGTGGAAAACTGGGTGAATGGTTGCAGTGGAAGGAAGTTCCAATTGATAAGCCACCTTCCCAATTTTCTTGTTAATCGAGTATGGTCCATAATACCGAGCAGCCAATTTTTCGTATCGGCGTTTGGCTAGACTTTGTTGCCGATATGGTCTTAGTTTGAGGTACACCAAATCTCCTTCAGCATACTCTTTTTCTGTGCGTTTCTTGTTGGCCTGTACCTGCATCTTTTGTTGTGCCCTGAGCAAGTTCATTCTAAGATCATCCAAAATTGCATCCCGGTCCTCCAATAGCTGATCAAGAGCATCTAAAGTTGTGACTTGCCCCTCATATCGAATGAGTGGTGGGGGATCCCGTCCATATAGGGCCTTGAAGGGGGTTGTTTTTGTGGAGGTATGGTAGGAAGTATTATACCAAAACTCAGACCAGGCCAGCCATTTAGCCCAACTCTTGGGCTTCTCGGAACAAAAGCACCTCAGATATGTCTCGAGACATCGATTCACCACCTCAGATTGGCCATCGGATTGTGGATGGTACGCTGTGCTCCTCTTTAGATCCTCCCCATGCAGTCGAAACATTTCCTGCCAGAATTTGCTCAAAAAAATTCTGTCCCGATCACTTATAATTAACCTTGGTAAGCCATGGAGACGAATAATTTCCTTCATGAATTTCTCAGCGAGGTTGGTGGCCGAGAAAGGGTGTCGGAGTGGAATGAAGTGGGCATATTTGCTCAAGCGGTCTACCACCACCCATATGGTATCCCATCCCTCTGATCGTGGAAGACCTTCAATGAAATCCATTGTTATTTCTTCCCAAACGAGTGAGGGTAGGGGTATCGGTTGAAGCAAACCAGCAAGAGATGTGGTTAAGCTCTTATGTTTCTGGCAAACTGTGCATCTTTTGACATAGTCGGCTATAGCTGCCTTCATCCCAACCCAATAAACCTCAGCCTTAGCCCTCATATAGGTTTTCTTCTCCCCTGCGTGCCCTCCTAGTGGTGTGTCATGGAACTCCTTGATAATTTCTTCCATAGTGGAAGAATTCTTAGGAATCACAAGCTGGTTCTTGTAGAGAAGATTCCCCTGGAATGTAGTAAAGTCCTTATGTCTGTCAGGATCTTCCTCCAAGTCTGCTTTGATCTGCTGGATAAATTCATCATTCACCATTTCTTCTTTCAATCTACCCCAAAATTTCCAACAACCAATTTCCAAGGAACTACAATCAGGCATGGGTTCAATTCGAGATAAAGCATCACCTACACGATTACTGGCCCTAGGTTTGTATTGGATGTCGAAAGAGAATCCCATTAGCTTGGTCACCCAACATTGGTAGTCGTTTCCCACTACCCGCTGTTCCAAAAGATATTTAAGGCTGAGTTGGTCAGTCCTTACTATAAATCTTCGACCCAACAAGTAAGGTCTCCACTTGAGCACAGCCTTCACAATCGACATCAATTCTTTTTCATATATCGACTTCATTCGAGCTTTATCCCCAATTGCACAGCTGAAATATGCAATCGGTCTATCATCTTGCATAAGCACAGCTCCGAGCCCGTACCCGGAAGCATCGGTTTCCACCACAAAGACTTTCGTGAAGTCTGGCATAGCAAGTACCGGAACTGTTGTCATGGCAGTTTTGAGTCTTTCAAAAGCCACTTCGGCCTCTTTGTTCCACCCAAACGAGTCCTTCCTCAACTGATTAGTTAGAGGGGCTGCTATGTTGGCATACCCCTTCACAAACTTCATGTAATAGCCTGTTAACCCAAGAAACCCTCTTAGCTCCTTCAAGCTCTTCGGGGTGGGCCATTCTACCATAGCTTAGGCCTTGGAGACTTCTGCAGAGACTCCTGCTGCAGAGATTTCATGTGCCAAATATGACATTTTCTGCTGCCCAAACTCACACATCTGTAAGTTTAAGAACAACTGATGCTCTTGTAAAATCCCCAGGGCTATTCGTAAGTGTTCCTTGTGCAAATCCTCATTTTTACTGTAAATAAGGATATCATCAAAGAATACTAGGATAAATTTCCTCAAGAATGGGCGGAAGATGTCGTTCATGAGGGCTTGGAAGGTTGCTGGAGCATTCGTGAGGCCGAACGACATCACTTTGAACTCGTAGTGACTGTTATGTGTTCGGAAGGCTGTCTTTGGGACATCTGCAACTCGCACTCTGAGTTGGTGATACCCCGAGCGGAGGTCAAGTTTGCTAAAAATGGTCGATCCGTGAAGCTCATCCAATAACTCATCTATCACCGGTATTGGAAACTTGTCGGGCACGGTGGCACGGTTGAGAGCCCGATAGTCCACACAGAACCGCCACGAGCCATCCTTCTTTTTCACTAGAATCACAGGGCTAGAATAGGGGCTGGTGCTGGTTTGAATTATTCCGGCTGCAAGCATCTCTTGAATCATTCTTTCTATCTCGCTCTTCTGGAAGTGAGGGTACCGATACGGGCGGACATTAACTGGGGAAGTGCCTTCTTTAAGGGTGATTTGATGTTCTTGCTGTCTTCTCGGGGGTAGCCCTTTTGGTTCCTGGAAAACATTTTCAAATTCACTTAAAATTGGGGATAAAAAGTCAGGGACTTGTTTGGTGGGTTGGACCTCTGTTTGGAATTTACATAGTTCGATCAGGATCCCTTCTTGCTCGCGTTTTAACTCCCTCTCCATGGTTCTTAAAGAAACCAAGGATCTTCCCAGTGATGGTTCCCCTTGGAGCTTCACCATGTTGTTACCAATGTCAAACTCTATTGTCTCATCCTTCCAATTCGTCTGTGTTGTCCCGAGTGTCTCCAACCATTTCATCCCAAGGATGACATCAGCACTTCCCAACCTTAGTGGGAGAAATTCTTCCACAATGTCGATCTATTGCAGTTGTAACAGAACACCTTGACAAACTCCTCTCCCTGCTTCACTATCCCCTGTGCCCATTTTAACCCTGTAAGGTTCCGTGTCTGTGACCGGAATGTCCAGGGTTTCGACAAGCCTAGAGGCGATGAAATTATGGGTGGCTCCAGGATCGATCAAGGTGATCACTGGATGATCCCATAGTCGACCCGTAAGTTTCATGGTTTTGGGGGAGGTAATACCAGCAACAGAATTTAGAGAAACCTCTACCGACCCATTCACTTCCGTCACTTCCAAGGTCGGAATTAGGTCTTCTTCCCCACAGTGGGGTTCGTCCATGGCAGGGGATTCTTCCTCTTCCACCAAGATCACATTAATTTGGGTTTTACACTTGTGGTTACGGCTCCACTTTTCATCGCATTTGTAACAGAGACCCTTAGCACGTTTGTCGATGATTTGGGCTTCAGTCAAGGGTTTGTCTTGAAAGTTTGTATTTTTTTTTTGAAATTGCTTCCCGATCGTTGCCCAGTGCCTTGTGTCAGCGCTGTTGACCCACCCCCGAAGGATCGAGAGGTCACGTATGTTCCAGATTTAGGATCCAAGAGACCGAACCCGCTGTTTTGGTTGGAGCGATTCTTCTCTTCAATCTGTTGGGCTAATTGAAAGGCTCGGCCCAAGGTGTTGGGCTCCCACATTCTCAACTCTTTTTTAATTGGCGATTTCAGCCCATACATAAAGGTACCCAATGCGACCTGCTCAGTGACACCTTCCAAGGGTGCTGAAAGCTCAATGAACCTCCGGACGTACTCTTCCATCGTGCTCGTCTGTCGTATCGCTGACCATTGTTCGTATAAATCGCCACCATGAATTGGTCGGAATCGTTTGAGGAAGACGGTTTTCATGTCTTCCCAAGTAGCTATCATCTGTTGTTTGCTCGCCCATCGGAACCAAGCTAGAGCATCTCCGCTCAGGCTGAGAACTACTGCTTCGATTTTCTCCTCATTTATCAGTTGATAAATGGCAAAATACCTCTCCGCTTGTAAAATCCACCCATCAGGGTTGTCTCCATCAAAAGAAGGCATGTCGACCTTCCGGTGTTTGTATTCAAACCGCCCTCTCCCTTGGTTTAGCCCTTCGAACGACCCAAAACGAGTTCAGGTCCTCCACTGGCAGAACCGCTAGCCCTCTGGCTCTCCTGGCTAGGGTTCTTGTCTAGAATGGTGACATTGGGGGTGTTAAGACTAGAGTTGGGAGTTTCAGCCGTCTTACCTCTTTCTATCTTCTCCACTTTCCCCATGAGAAAGTCAAGTTTCCTTATGATCTCATTCTGCATCAGCTTGTTATCTTCCGTAGCCCTAGCTTGCTGTTGGTTCACCGTTTTCTGCTGTTGTTGTTCTTCTGAAATCTTTCCCAGGGCTTCTTCCACAGCTTCAAGCCTCTTCTCCAATGGAGCAGTGTTCTTTTGTGGAGCCACCATTGCTCTGATACCAATTGATAAGCACCAGCTAGTAACCAAAAAAAATGAAATAACACAACCACCAGAAATTCATTAGATTGAAATAAGATTGATAGATAATAATCCCACTTTCGAGAGGGGGAAACTCTCCAATAAGTCTGAGACTTTTACAAATTTCTAGCCAAAAACTTCTCCAGAAGAAAGATGATTATTTATACCCTCATAATGGGACCACAGAGCAGACAAGGGATTCCAGGACAGGGAATGTTGTGCCCCACGAAAACAGGCCCAAACGAGAAGATCATGGCAACAACATAAACTAATATAATAAAAATAAAATTACCCCCCTCCCACTCAGCAACAAATGCTAAGGGACTGATGTTGCTGGGTCTTTGACCAAATTGCCCCTGCATCCTTTTCTTTGATAAACAAACCAGAGTGGGGGTTTATCACAGATTAAGAGAAAACACACAACAAAGAGTATAAGTAGATGAAAAAAAGAAGAAAAAGAGAGATGTGACTAAATAGTGATTAGGGAAAGTGCTTACAGTTAATCACATAGAACCCTAATTGGCATAAGTTAAACTGATTTAACAAATAACACACATAGAAAAACCAAATTTGATCAATATAGATCCAACATAACCATTGAATTGTGTACACCAGACTCCTCAAGTTACTTGCTGTCAAGCAGCAATGCCAAACACCACCAACAATTGAATCTCTTAACGGATTGAGAGAAAACACATGACAAAGAGTATAAGTAGATAGAACCCTAATTGGCATAATTTAAACTGATTCAACAAATAAGAAACATAGAAAACCAAATTTGATCAAAATAGATCCACCATGTCAGTGAAAGCGGTAGCAAGAAACATAAAGTGTAAAAAAGAAAATGCATAAAACAAAGATCTAATCTACATATAAAGTATAATGCTTATATGGGGTTCTATAAAGTACCGACTTTAAATGGGAATGTTAGATGTCAAGTATTGGTAAGAGGTTAAGGTTTCAGTCGTTCATAGCTCAAAGATTTCGATTATTTACAGTCTACATACCAAAATCAACATAAGAAACATAAGCACCATGATAGGGAAAACTATGTTGATCATCATACTTGTATCGCCAATGAAATAGCTCTAGCTCTAAACATGGTTCTATCTCCAACAAAAACCTTCATCTGCCCAAAACGCTTGATTAATAAAATTTAAATAAAGCAATTAAATCAATGAAAGATCTAGAAGCATCATGAGAAATAAGGGAAGGTGCCATGGGAGCAGCTGAGATATAGATGAGATATAGATGAAGGTGAAATCGTACCAAATAAAACCCTAGAATCTAAGGATATTTGATGAAAATTTAGGCTAACATTTTGGTTTCTTTGCATTTGAAATATGAATTTGAATGACCAATAATTACTTAAATTCGTTTTTTTATAATTATGTAGGAATGAGAAGAAATTATTTGGTGAGGATTTAGAAACGTGCCATGTGGCAAAATATAAATGTAGAAAATTGACATGTGGCATCTTAAGGATTCTTTTATTAGGGGAGAAGATGTGTATTTGTTTAATTAGTTAATTTACTATTTAAAAAAAAAATCATTTTATTGATCATCCTTACGGCCGTCGCTTAAAGTGTCCGTCGAAAATTCGTCGGTGAATTTATCCATCGGTTAACCGTTGGAAGACTGTCGGTAATTTTGTCAAACAAGGTCTGACGGCATCCGTTAGAAATCCATCACAAATTTTGTGTGAAACTTGTTGGTGATATTTATTACCCTTTTTCGTAGGAAACAACCTTCAATAGATGGAATACCGACCGAAGCGGCCGTTAGTGCTAACATGTTTTTCTACTACTGTTGTGGGCCAGAGCCCCATGCTACAAAGCTTTTACAAACAACCATATATGTTTTTAATTTTTGTAATTTCTTTTTCGTTTGTACAGCAATTTACTCCATTCTACTTATATAATACTGTACTCTGTTTAGTTTTTAAATAGAAAACGGTTCTATGACCATACTGTATAATCGATTTTGTAGTACGAGGGGAAAAGATTAATATTTCCACTTGCAAACTCTTGCAGCGTGAACTCTCATGATCACAAATTGCCATTCTAAAGATCATGTAGCAAACATATACTCTAAAGGAAAAAAAAGCTTGACTAGAAGTAGACAAAAGAGTAAGACCGGCAGCCTAAATAAATGACATATATAGCTAGTGAGAATGATAAACAACATGCGTGTTAATTCTATGCGCTAGGTTATAAGCATGCCTTCCGTTTTGAAGGAGTTTGGACTCTTTATTGCTCAGAGACATCTGTTTTGCTGTACTCATGACCTCCCCTTCACGATAATCAGCCCATTCATATTCGATCTCATGAAGCTCTTGTGGAGAAATAAAGCACATGCATTCTCTTATCACGTTTTTTGCTTCCACAGTCATCTTGTTATATGGGGGCAGATCATCTATACTTGCACTGACACGTGGATAGCGTGCCTCCAACTCTCTCGGTGTCAAAAAAGGACCAACATCTACAGTTTCAGTTTCAGTTTGACCCCAAATCTCTCTGGAAAGGTTGCTAATCTTGGCATCATGGGTGCTTGCTGGCAAAACCTTTTCTGAAGTGTTGAAGAACTTAGTCTTGAGAGTACGGACCTTACGACTCACCTGAAGTTTGGAAAATGGTCTTTCAAAACATTCCATCGTAATATTATGTAACATGATCATATCAGACTTGTCACGGCTTTTCCTCAAAGCTTCAAGTAGTAAAATTTCATCATTATCACTCCAAAGTTTGGTGATAGCACCCGTCTCTCGTTGGCTAGGGACCCACTCCGTGTCCTCCTCTTCAACTTCTCCCTTTTTGGATATCTGAGCCGGTTGCTTCCTCTTTCTCTTTCCGGGGTTGCATATTGTAGATGAAGGGATTACGGTGTTAGCAAGATCATGAATGTCAACCATTTTATTTGCAGGAAATTCAATAGTGTACGTATAAATATAGATCTTTAGAGCATGTAAGCTATATATATATATATATATATATATATATATATATATATATATATATATATATATACACGCCGATCTCCTATACTAATAAAAGAGCGCAAGCTATTTTTCCCGCTCAAAATCTCCCAAATAGCCCTTTTGGTCCTTTCAACTCACATTGCAGGAAAATCAGGAACGTGATCTGCAAAAAAAAATTCAAACTCAATTAAAATGGAAACATGATTCGTCCGCCATTTAAGATTATGATTTTACTCTATCCCAAAAAATCAGGCTAATCAATTTGAATTCCATTTAATAACAATAAAATAATTAAATATAATCTGTTCCTAATTTAAACATTCTTAAATTACCGATAGTTTCTATCTCAAATATAATAAAAAAAAAAAAAAAAAAAAAAAAAAAAAAACAGGGTTTAGACTTCCCATTCTTATATACATATACGTTTACATTTTTCAAATCGATACAGGTTAGCTACTCTACAAATATAAAAGTATTCGTTCTCTTCTTCCTGTTACCTCTTCTTCATATGTCAATTTCTTATTACATTTTTTGGTATAAACACAAACATTTGTGTGTGGTTGTGTATGACAAAGCTTTGTGTATGTTTTGACTCTCATTATAAGTATGTCCATCGTCCCTTTTCTATACTTGTCACTTTTTCGTTTTCTTCATCTCTTCCACCACAGGAAACACAAATACAAAGATCAAACAACAGCAGGTTAGTACTTTGTTAATTTTTCTTGATATTTTATCTATTTTGACAGTTTCTTGATTATCTCTAAAAAATTGAATTTTTCAAAGTCCATTTGAAAAGTAAAAATTCGATTTTTTCAAAGTCCAATTTTTTTTTGATGTAAAGTCCATGTGAAAAGTAAAGATGTTCTGATAACAATCTAATAATTTGAAGATTATGATAATCAAAAAAATCTGAAAGAAAACATACTCTTAAAAATCTGAAACAACACTAAAGTTCCTTATTTTCGTTTAAGGTTTAACCAAATCTTAGTGTAAGTTGGCTCTATGTTACTTAGCAGGAAATGAAGAAATCGAGTCACCTGGTGTAGCTGAATGAGAGTTAACCGAGGAAGAAGCTGGTGGAAGCAAAGGCGACGAACTGAGACATCAGCAGCGGTGGCGGACGCTTGGCGGAGCCAGTAGCGGCGGAGGCGGACGCTTGGCGGTTCCAGAAGCGCCGGAATCAGATGAAACCGGAGGCGGAAGTAACACCGGATTGAAGGTGCGACTTGTAGAGGTGTAGTTGAGGCCGATAGGAGAAAAAAGGGAAGGAGAGGAAGAGTCAAATGTGGGAGTTGGTTATCTTTAGTTTATCTAGTCGATTAGGTTTAAAAGACATGTAATTTTGACTTTCTTTTGTTTCACTTTTGTTGACGGGGTATTTTAGAAACAATATACTTTGTTTATTTTTGTAATTATTTATTTAATATAATTATTTCCTTTTTTTTTACTAATGTTATATGCTTCTTCATCGTAGGGAAGGAAAATCCAAGCCAAAGTGTTAAAAAAACTTGTCAATTTAAGTATACTATGAACAACAACATAAATTCGGATTGGTTTGGAGCACAATTGCAAATTTTAAACCAATTATCATATTAAAAATGAATACATTGCAAACAATCCAAATATCATGATGATTGTGTAATTTGCAAAAATAAACTTTTTGACAAGTTTGTTGAAAATGTCGTTTTTTTCATCAATAATGATATTGATGAAAATGATATTGATCAAGTCATAGACTTCAACAAAATGTTAGTTACTTTCTCGTATTTTTTTAATTTAATTTATTTTTAGATAATTCATCAAATAGTATTTACAATCCTACTCTCAAATTCATATTATGAACAATATTATTTTCTTATAATTCACGAGTTAAAGACCGTTTATGAGATTTTGGAACCATCTCAGTTACACATTACAAAATTTCATATACTTTTTTTCCATACAATATTTTATACTAATTACATTTTTATTTGTACAAGAGAAGTTGGACACCAAAAGCTTTTGATCCAAAAAAAATTCACTTGTTCTATAGATTTATAGTGTTTGTAGTTTGTGTACAAGTTTTAGAAGCATTTAAAAAGTGTTTTTCGTATTTTATATAAAAAGTTTTTGTGAACATTTAACATACAGGTTATAACCTAGGAGTTTGACATGTTTGCGATTGTACGAGTCAATAAGTGAGTAAACTCGCAAGGCACAAGGAAACTGATTTGCAGAATATTCATAACAATGTATATATTTATTTTAAAACAAAGTTATAAACTTACATACAATTTTCAATCTTTGTAAATTAATATTTTTTTAAAATATTTAATATTATAAAATCCAATTATGAATAATGTTTTTTCATTATCAACCGTGGTTAATACGGATTTAAACCTAATGAAATAATATATATATATATATATATATATATATATATATATATATTTTTTGTTGATTTGGTTCTGCAAAAATTACGGGAATGCTGAATCTCGCTGTCACTATCTTTTTTGGTGTGTATTTGTGTTGTTAAACACTAATTAAGGGAGGAGTCAGTGCCGGCCCAAGCCCATCAAGTTCTAGTGGGGCATCAATTTTTTAAAGCTTGTTATAGTATTATTGTATATTGGGCCACATCTACTTGGTTAGTCCAGTAAAACCCATGTGAAGACGTCAGGGGCAGCAGACGATGGAGACCTAATTAGCGCCAACTATCAATTTCGCATAGACGCATGGTGACTCTTCAATTCGTCTTCGATCTAAAACACAAGCCAACTGAAGATGAAGAACACGAGGCGTCGGGCGTCCCTTCCGGAGAATGGAGATGGACCGTTGACTACTCGATTAGAATTTAAAATCATCTCCTTTATCACTCTATGGCTCTATCGATCGCTCATTGCTCTCTGCCTCTCTCGTCCGCTTCAGCCTTCAGCCTTCTCTCGCCCTTTCTCTCGATAGCTTCTCATATGTTCTTTCTTTCTAAATCGACCTCTACTACTTTAAAGTTATAATAGTTTATCTATTGCAGTAAATCTGTTGTGTTAAAGTGAAGATTCAAAGGTGCCATATTGTGATTGATTGAATTCATCCTCCTGAAGTCCTAATCCTGTAATCCAGTAAGTTTTTTCTATTATTTCAAATTTCTTGCATAACCTACTTTAAGTTTCGAAAATCTAATAGTGATTACTGGTTAAAATTTATGAAATTTCAGTTTTCTTATACAGCTTACTGGCCGGAGAAGTGAAATTTCGATCAAGGTTGCAGTCTTGTTGATCCTGAACTACACTAAGTTTCATTAATTTTCTAGGTAATCTTTTTCTTCTATTTCTTGTAACTACTCTAATTTATGATCAAAATAACTTTGATTGTTTTTATATAATTTGAAATCTGATATGTGAATTCTTATTTTGATTTTTCTGATTCTGAATGACTGCATGTATATCGATTGCTAAAGTTATTAGTTTATAATTCTGATTTTTGAAAGTGTGATATGTAAATGATGATTTCGAAATTCTTATATTAAAAAACTGATGTATTTTTTTTTGAATAATGATATGATTTTCTGAAATTCTAAATAATTTGTTGTATATAATCACAAATTAAATTTTGATATGTAAATTATGATGTTGAAAAAGTTATGTGTATTTTATTTTTTAATAATATGTTGTTAGATTAATTTTTGAAAATCTAAAGGATAGTATTTTTTTTGTTTAGGTTGTGGATACGGATTGATAACTTCAAGCTGTGGATACGGATTGCTAAGTAACTTTAGGTTGTATCCTTCTTTGTTGTTACTACATTTTTTGACTTTTAATTTTTTTTTGTGAAGTTTAAATATGTTTCCTAGAAAACAACCATTTGGTGCTCAAAATAGAAAACGAAAACAAAGAGAACAAGATCTTACTAATAAATTACAAGGATCTTTAAATAAGTATTTTGTTAGAAGTGAAAATAATGATGAAAATTCGAATGATGTTCAAACTAATGATTTTGTTGATAATTCTAAAGGTCCAATTGAAACTTCTAATGAACCTATTGAAAATTCTAATGATCATGAAAATAATGATTTTGTTAATAAATCTAGTGATATTAATATTTTTGATCCAAGAGTATGGGATAAGTTAGATTTAAAAATGAAAGATTTGCTTGTAGAAAAATGGCATATTAGGGAAATTGAAAATAACAAATTTTCTAAAAGATGCACTAGGTAGACATTTTTCTTGTGAATTTTATGTTCGTAAATTAAGGAACAGTGACTCTTATGATAGAAAGTGGTTGGTGTGTTCGAAAGAACTTTATAAAGTGTTTTGTTTTTTTATAAGTTATTTAAAACAGCTCGATCTAGAAGTAATTTGGCAACCGAAATAATTAATGATTGGAAACATCTTAGTGAAAAATTGAATGAACATGAACATAGTTCTGAACACATGATTAATTTAAAAACATGGACACAAACACGACTTAAGTTAAGGAAAAATGAAACAATTGATAAAGAGTTACAAGAAAGAATAAAAAAAGATACTCAACATTGGAAAGAAGTTTTGATAAGAATTATTGTCGTTGTAAAATTTTTAGCTGAATATAACTTGGCTTTTCGTGGAACTAATGAAAAAATATATGAGAAATCTAATGGTAACCATTTAGATGTACTTCAAATGATTGTTGAGTTTGATCCTGTAATGAAACACCATTTTCAATTTATTCAAGATAATAAAAAAAAGTCATTTTCATTACCTTAGTTATAAAATTCAAAATGAATTAATTGAAATGTTGGCATCCGAAGTAAGAAGTGTAATTATTACAAAAATAAAAAATTCAAAATATTTTTCGATAATTCTAGATTACACTCCGGATGCAAGTCGTAAAGAACAAATGACTTTGATTATTAGATGTGTTGATGTTGCAAGTGTTCCAATGAAAGTTGAAGATTTTTTTTAGAGTTTTTAATTATAGAAGATACATCTAGTTTAGGACTTTTTAATGTTTTACAAAATGCTTTAAAATCTCTTGACTTGGATATTAATTGTATTCGAGGACAAGGATATGATAATGGAGCAAATATGAAAAGCAAACATCAAGGTGTACAAAAAAGATTGTTTGATATAAACTCAAGAGCTTTTTATATGTCTTATGGATGTCATAGTTTAAACTTAGTTTTGTGTGATATGAAAAATTCTTGTCATAAAGCTAAAACTTTTTTTGGTACGTGTCAAACAATATATAATGTTTTTTCTAGCTCCACACTGTCGTGTATTTAATGTGTTTATATTTTTATCAAAGTTTTAATTTATAAAAGCTATTTCCTTCACTAGACTATTAAACACACTAGGCAGTATACCTAATCGTGCAATAGTATAGCAATGGTAAGAACGAGTGTCGAACGCAAGGAACGGTGTTTAAATTACTTTATTCTACTATTAACTAATTACTAATTAATTAACAAAAGGGTTTTGTTTTCCTAGTTTTGCAAGACTAGATACTTAAATTATCAAACTAGCTATAAATTCACTTAATTAAGCTGTCACTAAACTAAAGCAAGTAAACAAGTATGAATTAACCAAGGGTGAGTAAGAGACGTTCGTTTAGCTTCGGATTTAGTTGCTATTATGGTTGATTTATGGAAGTGCAATGGATTTAGTTTCTCTAGTTACCGATTCCTAAGATGACCAAATTAGTATTCACCAATTTAATCCTTTAGCAAACTAGCTTATTTATTCGGTGATCAAGCGGACAAACTTACAAGTTCACTAGTGTTTAGTTCGAATTGATTAGACTTATAATTAATTGACCAATTTGGTTTATTGATTCAATTTAATACACGATTTTTCGTCATATATTAGCTCCTATACTCTTTTACCCACTTTTCTACTTAACCCTAGGTTTTGTTCAAAACTCTAGTCCTACAATTTTGCAAATCACAAGATCATAAGATTCAAATTTAACTAAGAGAGATGGTCATACTAACTTAATCAAATTCAGCAATAAGTAGAGAAAAATAGTTATCAAAAGTACTTGAGGTTCTTTAATAAGCTAAATCAACAAATAACAAAATCTCTAAATCCAAACCATAAAATCAACCTCAATTAGTCAACTCATCCTAAGCTAAACGAAAGTCATGAGTATTTAGCTCATGATTTCAGCAAACAATGTCACAAAAATGAAATTCATAGTAAAAGACATAGCTAAACCTAATAAAAAATCGAAGTGTAAGTTCAATTGCCTTAATGCTCCTTCTTCCAAGGTTGTGAATGAAATCCTCGCTTCCCAAGCCTTAATTCCAGTGTTTTGCCTCCAAAAGTATCGAATTCTCCAGAGCCAAAAGTCTTCATTCGGTGGTTTGAGTGATCTATTTATACTTTTCCCGAAATCAGAGCACCACGTCGTGGTAGATCCACCACGCCGTGGTCATCGTGTTTATCCCGTATTCTCCAAGTCTTCTAAGCTGATCGGGATTCTTCAAGTTGCCACGCCATGGTACGATCACCACGACGTGTTGGGTATATTTTTCTTCATTTTAGGGCTTTGATCCAAACTTTCAACTTCCAACTTCCTTAATCCAGCTTCCAGCTTCCTTTTTTCTCCAAGCATGTCTTTTGGTCCCTACAACATAATTCATAACAAATTAAGTATATTTTGTTCTAATAAGGGCATAAAAGTAATTAAAATATTAAGATATGTTATCAAATTATGTGTATAGATATGCACATATCAAAATACCCCACACTTATTCTTTGCTTGCCCCCAAGCAAAATGATTTTTAATTTCACCAGCAAAATACAAAATAATCCATTTCAAACCCAACCATTATCCCAAGACCTCAATGCATGTATTTGTGTCTATAATTCCTAAGAACTCCCCATTCCTAAATACTCACAATCCCTATGAACCTTCACCCCTTAGCTTATATGACACTCATTTCTGCAACCCTTCGAATCAATCCTCAAAAATCTTTCTTGACCTCAAGGTATTTTTGGCTAAACAACCAAGCATACATAAATTCTAGAAATTACAACTTTGATACTATAATGGAGCTCATTGAATTCTTCACTTTGTTGTATATTTGATCTTTAATTTACTTGAATTCACCACTTTCTTTGTTTGATTAATTTTGGTATCTTTAACTTTTTTTGATTTCTTCAGAATTTTGATCTTTGGACTTCATACTTGACTGCTCCAAAATCCCTTTAACTTTTCGGTAATTTCTCTCTCTCTCTCTCTTTTTTTTACATGTATTCTCAACAAGGAGCTTAGCTTCAACCTTTATTGGTTAAGGTATTAGTCTAAGTGCAATGACTACCTAAGCTTTCCTGGATGGATTTCAGGTTTTGGCTGCAAAACGTATTATTCCATATAAGCTACCAGATTACCTTTCATACTTCATGACTTTTCACTAGGAAATGGGAAGCCACAAATACACTCTAACATGTGTTGGCTCAAGTAAACATTTTGGTCCTCTTCGGATCATCCCATACTTCACTTAGCGACAATTTTAATTAGCTAAGTTTCCTAAGTTAAACTATTATTTCAAGCTTATATGCAAATTTAGAAAGTATTGATGCAAAAATTAAAAAAAAAATCAAATGCTTTTTCTCATGCAATATACCCCCTACCCCACACTTATTTCATGCAATGCCCTCATTGCATGGTATACATAAAATTAAAAAGAGGGAGAAAAGAAAAAAAAAAGAACAAACTCCCCTGAGATAGAAGATGCATGTTGACACATGGGAAAGACTTCTAGCTTGCTTGAACGTGTGGACTCGGAATTGGAAAAGAAAATGGCAGCCTCCTTATGCTTTAAAAAACTCCCCCACAACATAGGAAAATGTCAACCATGTCGTTGCAGCCAGGATAATTCTTCATTATTGCTTGAAAATACAATTCTATGGTGTGGGAACAGCTCATCCATACCATGAGAATGAATATAATGTATGAAACGCCACTCAGGAACACGTAGACTACTGAAAGTGCGAGTTTGGACCCGAAAAATGACTCGAAAACCACCACGTCGTGGTAGATATTACCACGACGTGTTGGGCCAAACAGAACACTTTTTTGGAATTTTTCATGCGACAACACGGCGTGTTGTACATTGCCACGTCGTGGTGGTCTCAAAAAATCAAAATCGGATGTCGAAATGTACTGAAAAACGAACTATAAGTGACACTATCTCTTGAATAAAGTTGTACGACGTGACTATTCACTCTATGACTCAATTAAACACTCGAAAAATGTTGTCAAATCTCGCTTCTCTCGACGTTCTCTAAACCTTCACTATAACGAACTCTCTTTTGCCAAACATACCCTCACTTGGACTCTAGAATAGTACCTGGAACTAAGACAAAGAAAAAGGTAATACAAGTAGGAAACACTGTTCAAGCAACCAAAACAAATACATAATTTTTCAAGTACTACATAAAACAAAATAAAAAAAGTCTAAAAACCATCAAATAAAAGGATAAAACTCAATCTTCCTCATCGTCTCCTCCACCACCACTTCCACCAGCCCCACCTTGTTGCTCCCTCCATAATTCGTCCCAAGTTGGCGCGTAAGGGTATGTAGGAGGAAAATGAGCGGGCGGGGGAAAATGTAACTGCTCCATAAGATAATCGATACCCATGTTAGTATAATTTCCACTTCTTGCTAAGTTATCCTCAAACCTCCGCCTAGCAACATTGTATGGGTCCATGTGCATCTCATCAACCTATGGCACAACTGGTGGCTCCTCTCCTTAAGGTTCATTTCCCCTTGGTCGTACCCGCCTTGGAACTCGACCTCGTGGAGCGTCATCGGGAATACCAAAATTACCAAATCCATGATCAACTACAATATTTTCCCTCTTATAAACAAGGGTCGAGAAAGGCTTTTGTGGCTCAACAGTTAACAGCGCAGCATCACGTTTCTTAAATACTCCATAGGAACGGGCGAGACGAGTAATGAGCATGCCACCATACAAAGGGGAGCCACGTCGATCCTTAGCTGCCCTTACTGCAAGAAATTCTGCCGAAAGAAAGGGTAGATCCACATGGGCATCCGGTGAAGTAAGTGTTCATAGGAAGAAAACATTAATAGTGGGACATTTGTCCCCCTCTTGGCGCTCATTAAAAGTGTTAGTGATAAGGCGGTGAAGTAAGCGATGAATGGGAGAACGGATATCGCTCTCCTGTGCTGTCCCTTTTTGATATGCACCATTAGCTATTGCATACCAATGTTCTTCAGCCTTGAACCCCTCGATATCCCTCACACAATCTGCAATATACTGCTGGTAGGATTCAGAATCAACTTCAGATGGAAGATAAATCCCTATTCTGATGGAAAAATCAGCAAGGCTCAGTGTTCTCCTCTCACCACCAAGGCAGAAAGTCAAATTGTCATCCGCATAAATACCAGTTTTCCTTGCAAATGAAACAGTAGATAAGAACTCCATTACTAACTCCTTGTAAACAGTCTCTTGAATCTGAAAAATCCTTCTCCACCCCATACAAACGAATGGTCCATGAATGCTTTCAAACACCTTATCAAGAAAGGGTTCCATTGCCTCCATTAAACCGGTTGAACCCATCCAATACCAAACCACAAATGCAGGGACATGAACCATACGTTGCTTCACCCAATCGAGTTTGGCATTCCATTTTGTATAAATTTCGGTATTTACATTTCGTGGAAAATTATACCATGGAAAGTCGGGACGACTTCCGGGTTGGTTTCGCCTAGACCTGCTATCCATGTCTGTAAAATAACCATAAAGACCACACAAGAAACCATGTGCATCAGTATAATCAAAACAAAACTGAACAGACTGTGAAAAACATCACCACGACGAGGACCACGACGAGTCGTCGTGGTCGATCCACTGTTCGTGAGACCTGGTAGAGTCGGACCAGATTCAACTCCATATCAACTCAATACAAGTTCAGGGTTTGTTCTATACATAAAATGTAGTAGAATGGTAACGAAATCAAGGCTCAAGACACCCAAAAATTGGTCCGCTTTTTGCAAAAATCGGAACCCAAGGTTCCCAAAATTATCCCTAAATGTGTTCTAATCAAGAAATAGATGCTTTATACTACCATAATAAACAACTAAGAGTAAGGAAATTACTAGAAAATCATACCTTTTAGTGAAGAAAAGCAAGAAATCAATGGAAAGAATGGTGAGTTCTTCGTGGAGGCTAACACGACGAGAGAAGTGGAGTGGTGTAAAAAAGTGAAAATGTATTGACTTGGGTGTAAAAACCCTAAATTTGACAGCAGTTGTTTCCGTCGCCACGAGGTGGTAGAATCACCACGTCGTGGTGATTTATTTACTCGCGATTATTCATGTTCTGAAAAATCACCACCTCGTGGTGGGTAAAAAAAATCTTTTATTTATTTACTCTTAAAAATAGCCACCCCACACTTGTGTTATGCCATACCCCACGTCGAATTCATAAACAAATCAGAAGAATGAGAGAATAAAAACCTAAATAAAACTAAAACAAATAAAAGAAAATTAGAAGAAAAGGAAGGAAAATGCAAACTCCAAACCACAGGTTTCCTCCTGCAAGCGCTTCTGTTTGAGGAGTCATAAGCCGGACTCCTTCCCGCTTTACGTTGTCTCAGCTCGTGTGAATTTGACGATTTCACCCTCTCTTTCTTCACTTGGCATTCCTTCTTCATAATGCTTCACTCGATGCCCATTAACCTTGAAAGGGATCCCGTCTCTTGATATAAGCTCAATAGCTCCATGCGGAAAAACTTGTTTAACAACAAATGGTTCGTCCCACCTAGTTTGTAATTTACCTGGAAAAAGTTTCAACCTTGAACTGAAAAGTAGCACCTTTTGTCCTTCATGAAAGTCTTTATTACCCTTAAGTCTCATGTCATGCCATTTCTTAGTCTTGTCTTTATAAATTAATGAGCTTGTATAAGCCTCGTTTCTAAGTTCTTCAAGGCCATTCATTTGCATTAACCGGTTTGTACGGAGTTCAGCCAACTCATAATTACATATCTTCAAAGCCTAATATGCTTTATGCTCTATCCCTACTGGCAAGTGGAAATTCTTTCCATAAACCAACCTATATGGTGTTGTACCAATAGGTGTTTTAAAAGCCGTTCGGAATGCCCAAAGTGCATCATCAAGCTTGTCTGACCACTCCTTTCTATTACTTCCAACCGATCTTTCTAGAATCCTTTTTAATGCCCGATTTGTAACTTCAGTTTGCCCACTCGTTTGGGGATGATAGGATGTTGAGAATCTAGGGTGGACACCATATTTTTGCAACACCTTAGCCAATTGATCATTTGCGAAGTGGGTGCCTCGATCGCTAATTAGAGCCTTAGGAACTCCAAACCTTGAAAATAACGTTTTAAGGAAACATACCACCACTCGAGCATCATTATTGGGTAATGCTTGTGCTTCCGCCCACTTAGATACATAATCGACTGCCACCAATATGTATTTATTACCCTTTGACATTGGAAAAGGTCCCATGAAGTCAATCCCCAAAATATCAAATATCTCACAAACTTGAATGCTATTTTGAGGCATCTCGTTTCGTGATGAATGTTTCCCAACCTTTGGCATGAATCACACTCCTTGAAAAATCTAGTAACATCTTTAAAAATAATAGGCCAATAAAAACCGGTATCAAAAACCTTCTTAGCCGTATATTGCGCTCCATGGTGTCCTGTGGTGGGCCCGCTATGACAATGCTTCAAGATTTCTCGACGTTCTTTCCCGAACATGCAGCTTCTTATCATTTCGTCTGCACAACTTTGAAAAAGGTACGGCTCATCCCAAAAGTAGTACTTGATTTCTGAAAGGAATTTCTTCTTTTGTTGTCGGGTCAAATCCTTTGGAATATATTCACTTGCTAAATAGTTGGCTAAGTCCGCATACCATGGTACCTCTCCTGATATGACCAATAGATACTCTTCGGGAAAATCATCTCCAATCTTGTTTTCTTCTAACTCTTCCAAGTGCGGGTTCTCCAGTCTTGATAAATGATCGGCAGCCACATTTTCCATCCCCTTTTTATCTATTATTTCGATGTCAAATTCTTGTAAAAGCAAGACCCAACGTATCAATCTTGGTTTAGCATCTTGTTTAGCAAAAATATACTTAAGGGCAGAATGGTCGGTAAAAACTATTGTTTTTTATAAAACCAAATATGGACGGAATTTATCAAAAGCATATACCACCGCTAGTAGCTCCTTCTCGGTAGTAGTGTAGTTCTTTTGTGTTGGGTTCAAGGTTTTTCTTGCGTAGTAAATAGGCTGAAAATGCTTGTCAATTCTTTGTCCCAAAACAGCTCCCACCGCATAGTCACTAGCATCACACATTAGCTCAAAAGGAAGACTCCAATTCGGAGCTATCATAATAGGTGTACTAGTTAACTTCTCCTTCAACACTTGAAACGCTTCATGACATTCCTTTGAAAAATCAAATGGGGCATCTTTCAAAAGAAGTTGAGTTAATGGCCTTGTGATCTTCGAAAAGTCTTTAATGAAACGGCGGTAAAATCCCGCATGGCCTAGAAAGCTCCTCACTCCTTTTACATTTGTTGGAGGTGGTAATTTAGCTATATTGTCAACCTTTGCTCTATCCACCTCTATCCCTAACCTTGAGACTTTGTGTCCCAGCACAATTCCTTCCTTCACCATGAAGTGACAATTTTCCCAATTAAGGACAAGGTTGGTCTTCTCACATCTTGCTAGCATTAGATCCAAGTTGGACAAACAATCTTCAAAAGATGACCCAAAAACCGAGAAGTCATCCATGAAAACCTCCATAAATTTCTCGATCATGTCATGAAAGATTGCCATCATGCACCTTTGAAAAGTAGCTGGTGCATTGCATAACTCAAAAGGCATGCGTCTATATGCGAATGTTCCACTTGGGCAAGTAAAAGTGGTCTTCTCTTGGTCTTGCGGGTCAATCAGGATTTGAAAGTAACCCGAGAAACCATCAAGGAAACAGTAGTAGAGATGACCAGATAACCTCTCGAGCATTTGATCGATAAATGGTAGTGGGAAGTAATCCTTGCATGTAGCATCATTAAGTTTCCGATAGTCGATGCAAACGCGCCACCCAGTCACTGTTCTTGTTGGAATCAATTCGTTAGCTTCATTGGCAACAACTATCATTCCTCCTTTCTTTGGTACAATGTAGACCGGACTTACCCATGTGCTATCGGAGATGGAATAAATGATACCAACATCTAATAGTTTAACCACCTCCTTTTTAACTACTTCTTGCATATTTGGATTGATTCTTCTTTGACGTTGCACTATGGGTTTAGCTCCATCTTCTAAGTTGATCTTATGAGAACAATAGGTTGGACTAATCCCCTTGATGTCAGTGATCTTCCATGTTATGGCACTTTGTCTTTTCTTTAATACTTTCACGAGGCTTTCTTTTTCATGTTTCGATAGATCGGAAGCAATTATTATTGGCTTTTGTTGTCCTTCTTCTAAGAATGCATACTCCAGGTGTTCGGGGAGGGCTTTCAGCTAAACTTTTGGTTTCTCGTCAGTTACCACGATGTGGGCATCCTGCCACATCGTGGTGTCACAACTTTTAATTCCGTTTCGTGGAAAAATATCTTGCCACGACGTGTTCTCGTCACCACGTCGTGTTGCCTCTTCTGCCTCTTTTATTGCTTCATTATACTCACTTTCTTCCAATAACTTCTCTAATTCTTTTAAGTCGAGTTCGGGATCAAAATTTCCTTCTTCAAGCACCATGAATCCCTCAGTTTCTTATTCTTTCCAACCCTCTAGCTCTTTTTCAAGTACTTCATCTAACACATCCACAGAAAACGTCGTATCATCACTTATCCTTGAATATTTGATTTCCCGATTAACTCCAAAAGTAACTGCTTCTTCTCCAACTCGTAGAGTAAGTTTGGACTCTCTTATATCTACCAAGGCTCGGGCTGTACTCAATAATGGCCTTCCAAGGATGATCGGGACTTGCTCGTCTTCCTCCATATCCAAAACATTGAAATCAACGGGAAAAACAAACTTGTCAACTTTTACTAGTAAGTCTTCACAAATACCCCTTGGAAAGGTCATAGTTTTATTGGCTAGATGGATAACCATGCGGATCGGTCTTGGTTTGGGAAGATCAAGATTCTTGAAAAACGAATAGGCCATCAAGTTGACACTTGCTCCCGAGTCGGCTAGAGCATGGCTTGTTGCTAGATTCCCGAATTGGCATGGCAATGTTATACTTCCTGGATCCCCCATCTTCTTTGGTAGCATGTTGAGCATTGCAGCTGAGCAAGTTTCATTCAATACTACTTTAGATAATCCCTCCATTTTCTTGCGGTTTGTTAAAAGGTCCTTGAGAAATTTGGCATATTTTGGCATTTCGGCTAAAGCCTCAAGGAAGGGAATGTTGATTTCAAGAGACTTTATGTGATCTAAAAACCTCCGGTAATCTTCAGCATGCTTTTCTTGAATTGCTCTACTCGGGAAAGGCAATGGTGGACGGTATGGCTTAACAGGTTCAACAACCTTCTTTTCAGCTTCTTGCCACGTCGTGGTGATTGTCGAGATTCACTTCCTTGATTTTCCTCTTGAACTTCCTTCTCTGCTTCTGGGTTGTTTCTGTCTAAAGGCGTTAAATGAGTAATAATTTTTCCGCTTCTAGTGGTGATGGCTTGAATGTGAGCTCGTCTCGGGTTTTGTTCGGTATATCTCGGAAGTCCTCCTGGCGATCTTTCATTTAATTTGCTTGCTA